GATCTCTCCTAGAATGCCATCGACCAGAAACATATTAAAGGCTAAAGGCGGTAACTCACCTAGTTACAGATGTTTGGAGACTAGTAGTGGGATTTTTTTTCTTCTTTCAGCTGCTCCCTGCTTCAAAGGTCACCACAACAAACTAATTCACACAAAGACTTGGCAATTGTTTTTACACCGGATGTCCTTCTTGATGCTACCACAGCTGCCATCTAGCATGCCCAGCAGGGGAGCAGTTTGTTGGGGTTAAGGGCCTTGCTCAAGGGCCCAGATTTGGGCATATGAGGCAGGTGTGGGTGTTTCATCTATCCCACCCACATTTTGATGTTGTCGGTCCAGGGAGTTGAACCGGCAACCTTCTGCTCACAGGCCCATCTTCTCCATCCCCCCAATTTGTAAGAGACTCTCTGAACTCGGCACCTATATGACCAACAAGCCACATGGCTGTTTTAAGCTGCCGTTTTTTGAAAATCACGGACAATTTGAGGGCACAGCTTGTTAAACTGTGTTCTTAGCCTTGCATGTTGTTTGTCAACCTCTGTCCACCTCAGTTTGCTTATTTCTGTAGCTGCCCCCACTTTTTGTCTCCCATGCAGAGTATGAAGGGGAATTGGAAATACCCTCTGTCCGGGTGTGCACGTTGTGTGCGTGATACCTTGAAAAATAAGAGATACCCATTTTCAATTTGTGGTGCAGCTGCTTCTAGGTGTAAGAAAGTTTTCCATCGAAAATTGGGTTGCCAGGTCAAAATCCAAGATGGCCACTGCCATGAATATGCGTAAACTGGTCACCCTTATCATTTGAGGAAACTATGCTTTTTACTTTTTATAATCCTTAAAAGTATAGTGTCCTCAAAAGATTGGGGTGGCCGGAGATTAATCTGTGGTGGTCAAAGCCATCATTGACCACTCCCTCTATCTGCCTTTGCTGCGCCTGATGGTGGACAAAATTACTCCATCCACTCACCAAGATTAGTCACTGCACCACCTGAGACAAGAAAAAAACTGTGCAACTCCTACCCATTTACATACTTGCACCACATATACTGAGCTACTGTACCAAGTTATAAATGTGTCTTCTCCCAGTTACTCTGTTCTTGTGGTAAGGCTCAGATGTCACCAGCCTTGAACTCAGCAGTACCTTTATGATTCTGGAGCAGCAAGAAGCTCACATTCACAGGCAGCTGATCCCTGCGTTCATGCTGACTGGTCCATCTCCAGCAGCTGATTTCCACACATGTATTGGCACTTTGTATGAGTATTCCTACTTGTGCAATTTGAAATGTGCACATTTGAAAAACTGTTTATACAATCATGAATGTTGTAGTACGCATTTGTTAAACTTGCGGTATGTTTGTGGATCTTATTGTATATGTACACATCTCGTACACTTGTGTGAATAATTATCTGCACAGTTTTCCAGTTCTGACTGGTTTGGTGGGAGCAGGCTGCCATTCTTCCCGTGGACACTGGGTGGCGGTAGTACCATCTGACTGGTCTCAGCCATTGTTGTAAATTAACCCAGGAGCCATGCTCTGTTTGTTTTGAACTGCAGGCAGTATAGGAGCCCTATGGTGGGATCCTGTCCAGAGGCTGCTCTTTTCTGGGGCCTCAGATCACAGCATCATGATGTGGGACATCGGGGGCCGCAAGGGACGGACACTGCTGTTGCAGGGACACCAGTAAGTCCTCCCATAACATGCATGTGTATTAAATCTGTTTCAGATAGTTTTCATCAGGGATTAGTCCTCTGCAGATAACGATCAAAGAGAGACCTTTGCAGAAAATTCACCTCTTTCATTTCCATCAGTTCTTTCATGTGAGACTCTTCTTCAAAGACGTCTCTGTGGTGTCAGTAACAGTTGTCCCAAGGCACAGACTTTTATATATTTTCCTCCAGTATTCAGCCTTCGTATCTTCCTCCTTGTTAGACGTTCTCCACCCAGCCTGTGAGCAGTGATGTGTGTCAGAGCTAACCCCATCTTGGACCATACACTTCTCATTTGAAGATGTTAAAAAATTTGATTTTTTTTTTTCTCCACTTTCAACAACCAGTAAATCCTGTTTTGACCAGTCTTCAGCACCATCAACGCTGCTTGGTGTCCATATTTTTCCTCGTCATTTCTTTCTTCTGTCGTCCTTTTTACAGATGTTTAGTGTGGATTGAGAAGACAAATACAGAATTGAATTATGAACCATTTTTAGCAGTATTATTCATCCTCCCAGTTTACCTGTTAGGATATCAAATCCGATCTGCAAAACAGAGCCTGACACGTGTGACGAGTGTTTCTAAGTGTAATATGATAAAAACAGATTATTACCCAGAAGTAAAAGCCAAACTTCGTGTTGTTGCAAAAATACTGCTTGTGGGTGAGGACCAGTTTTTAGTTGGCAATGTTGAGCACAAAGCTGCTACAGGTGAAAGGGACTTTAGTTACCCCCGATATTTATAAAGTATGACGTCTATAATCCTAAAACTGGACATTACACAAACAAGGTGAGGGGTGAAGATCTGGAGGCCACTCAAGGGTTTGATCCAGTTACGATTCAGAGAGTCAAAGTCAGTTTCTTTATTCTCATTCCACACAACAAAATTGTGTACACAGAGTCCCAGTTACATCCAACAATAAAATGTAAAAGAAAAACATTAATGACATCTAAGATATGAACCAAGAAAAACATCAACTAAAAATACGCTAAGCACTAATAGCATTCTGAGGACTGTGATGCAATATAAAATGAAGATTAATGCATCCTGATGCAAGCATAGTCCTCTCTCCAACCTGAATAAAACTAAATATTAAGCTGCAGTAAAAACAGTTTTCATTTAAACAAGATTTGGGGAACTCATTGAAAATAAGGAGTCAAAATGCTGAGGACAGTGACAAAAAAATCTGTGAAGATAGATGCTCAGAATTATCTTAGCAGCTTTATTCAGTGTTTTCACGACTGTTTTTGGTCTCGTCAGACTATGGGGACAGTTGACCCCGGTCTATCATGGTTCAAAGTAGGGATGCACGACATTGGATTTTTGGCCAATATGTTAAAACTTATTTGGCTGATAACCGATATGCCGATATCGATATTTTATATATGTTCGTTTGTCAGAACATGTCCCTCTTATTTTGGCTTATTTGCTACACAAATTGTGCAACAACTGTAAGAGCTGGTGACATATATTCAGTAACAGCTATATGATATGCATAGCACTTTAACTTATATTAAATGAAAAGTGTTAAATGTTGTTTATTAGCATTAGTCACCTGTGATGCTGTCTCACTTGTGGAGGCTTGTTCCAGGTTCCTAGCTGCAGTGTGGGATCCTCTGCACTCCTGTGCATGAAGGACAGCCTTTTTAAGATCAAAGTTTTTGTCTATCCATTGTGCCGCAAGACTAATCATGCTAACGGGGCTAACACGACATCCAAATGTCTGTGGTAAAACTCACCCAAGTGCTATCGGCTATTAGCTTCTCAATGACATCAGAAATGATTGCTTGAAACTAACGTTACGTCGGAAAAATATCTCTGACTGGGAACGATGTAGCGAGGCTCAACTTGGTCCATAAATCTTCAGAATCCGACATCTTCACCAACGAAAAATAAAACTTCAACACCGCCGATATTTTGAATTTTCCTCTCCTCCGTGAGATCAGGTAGGCGCGCGTGACGTCATTGATGTTGTGCTGCTGCTGCAGACGTCCTTGTCACTGGGTTTTCAATCAAAAACAGCGCCTTTTATATCTGAGTTATTTTAATGGAATGGCTGATGTCCGATATTGAACCTTAACGCTAATATCGGCCAATTCCGATACCATGCCAATAATATCGTGCATCTCTAGTTCAAAGTGTGCAACATAAGGTGGTGGACTGTGACTGGTTGGTGACTCAGAACTGCAAAAAAATAGACTAAACATTAGTAGCCCCCCCGAATTCTGTGTGTTTGCAGCCATGCGACCAGCAAGTCGTGCAGCTACGAGTTATACAACCAGTTTTTGCAAACCATGACCTATTTTTGTGCTTTCAGATCTTGTAAAATTGTATTTTAAGCCATAAATACCAATCTAAAAAGGTTCAATCTGGTCCTCTGGACATTCAAAAAAACAAAAAACAAAGCAAAGCAAAAAAGAGTGACCGCTGGCCTGGATATGAGTGTAGACCGCAGAATCCTGGCCTGATGATGTTGATCTTCTGTGCTGGGCCATCCGGTCACTCTTTTAGGGATGAAGATGTTCACATCCTGGACAGAGAGGAACAATGGTTTGAGAGAGGAGTAAAGGAGGCCATCTTTGTGAAAAGAAATCGTCCATCATTAAACAGAGGTGGAGGCCTCCGGGTTCAACTGTCCCCCTCTTACAATGCTGTTATTGCTAGTATCACTCAACCCCCTGTGAATAGTAAACAGCCATCAGGTGCTAATGATCCATTGTTAGGCTGATGGTCCTTCTTGATCATGTGAGCAGCTGGTTTTGGTTGTCAGCAGCAAACTGGTTGATCCACTCTGAGAAGGTGCTATTTAAGAGACTGAGCTGAAAACAGCACCTCAGACTGAGGAAGTCTTTCGGATGAAAGATGAAACGTTTCTACATTTTTTTTTTTTTTTTTTTTTTTAATGTCCAGAGGACCAGATTGAACTTTTTTGGATTTTTCTACCTGGATTATTGAGCATACATCAGGACATAAATACCAATGTTGCCTGCCCCATGCCATGCTGCAAACATTCTGACTCCTATGAAGTAAACATTAGGTTTATTTTACTGGTTAACTCAAGACTCTTAGTATGACCAAAGTAGTTCAGTAAACTCAGGTAATGACCTATAACTTAGATTTACCTGGTATGAAGTGCCCATCCAGGAGTAATCACTGGGGTTCCATCTTTCCTCTGTACAGCTGCAGTCCACGTGGTTTTTGTTTCAGATCCTTTGAAAAACTGTAACATGACTATTTTTTTCTGTCTGAACTATCAGAACATCATAAAACTGCTGTTTTATGGTGGTATGTCTTTAACATTACAGGTTTTCACAAAAGTTCTTTTATAACTTTACAGCTTTATAACTCTGGCACAACAATTTCCTGCAGGATCAATAAAGTTCTTTCTTATGTTTTATCTTATAACTGGTGAACTTAAGTTTGATATCCAAAGATGGCTGCATTAATCACAACTATCACTAATATTTTATGACAATTTCTCAAATCCCCCCTGGAATTAGTTAATTAATTATCTCTCTATCTCTCTATATATCTCTATTTCTGTCTATATCTCTATCCCTCGATCTCTATATTTATACCTCTCTCTATCTCTATTTCTATATCTATCTGTCAGTCTGTCTCTATCTATCTGTATATCTTTATCTCTATATCTATATCTATATCTCTAGCTTTCTCTATCTCTATCTTTCTCTCTATATCTATCTCTCTATATATCTCTCTATATATATCTCTCTCTATATATATATATCTATCTATCTTTCTCTCTCTATATATATCTCTCTCTATATATATCTCTCTCTCTATATATATATCTATCTTTATCTCTCTCTCTCTCTCTCTCTCCCTCCCTTTACCCATCTTTATCTATCTCTGTCTATCATCTTTCTCTCTCTATCTCTCTATATGTCTCAATCTCGCTCTCTGTCTATCTATCTGTCTGTCTGTCTCTCTTAGGAAAGAGTCTGTTGCATTTTGTAATTTCGCCACTAGATGGCACTAATTCCACAAATCTTTTTTTTCTTTCTTTTTATTTAAATGAGTTGAAGGAATTTTAGTCTTTGGGCTCCTAAAGGTATTTTCAATAATCCTGTTTGTTGTTCTCGTTGCTCCCCTTCAGACTCTGGTGAATCAGTGTGAAACAGCTATAATCCATTACCCACGTTGACAGACACACACAGCTATCAAAGACGTTAGGTTTACCCATCCTTTAACATGCTCAGTGTTAGTAAAGATCTTCCCATCAAGGTGGGAGATGAGCATGTTTTACAGATTTCTGACTGCTTCTAGTCTTAAACACTGAAAATGCAGCAAATAACTGACTTTTGGCTTTTTACTGTGAAGGACCTTCCTGCAGAGTAAAGTTTTGTGAACATTTGAATAACTGAGACTCGCTGACCTGCACTCACCTGTAAAACACTCGAGCTGCCCAGCAGAAATCTAAACATGCGACTTGTTTTCCCCCCTCAGCGAGCGTGTGCAGGCGCTGTGTTACCTGCAGTTCACGAGGCAGCTGGTGTCGTGCTCAGCCGACGGAGGCATCGCCGTGTGGAGCATGGACACGCAGAGAGAAGAGGTAGCTGCACCGACACTCCACACCTTCATGCCTCCACAAACCTGTTCTTCTTGTTTTGCTCTGAGTGTCTCGTCGAAGGTGAAAGGGTGATCATGTTTTTACCTGGTGTTTTTGTGCTGTTAGCAAAATAGCTGATTATTCACTACATGCATTTTATTGAAAATCTCAAAAGCAGTTATTTGTTGTCCGTCTACAACTGATCCTTGTTTAAGATGGCCGCCACAGCTAACCAAACTTAAGAGAATACAAAGATGGCTACAACTCCATCAGCTTTAAAGGTACTGAGCCAGAGTGTGGTGTGGTAGTAGCTGAGAGTCATCCCCATTACATGCTTTAAGCACTAACTGATGGCAACATGTCTGTTTTTAGACATTAACTATTGGAGTCAGTGCTGTCTGTTAGCAAAATATCTCATGCAAATCATCTGGTGTACTGATGACTGATTAACTTTTGGAATTGACTCAATTCAAGATGGCTTCCACAGCCAACACACCTTTAAACACACAAATATAGCTACAACAGTTTTACACATATTGAGGTACAGGTAGGTGTGATGGTAGCCGAGAGTCATTCACAGCACATACTCCAAGTGCTACACCTCCGGGACATCTTTACCTGAAACTTTGGGATTAATTGTTGGCGTCTACCCTGTTTTTCTGTTAGCAAAATATATCACGAACCATTGGACATTTGACTGAAGTTCTCGGAAAGTAAATCATTTAGAAGTGATGAACTTCTGGAGTCACTCTAGATCAATTTGGTTGTCACAGCTCTTCAACTTTAAGTCCAACAAAAATGGCTTTAATTCAGTCTGTATTACAGAAATGGAGATGAATGTGGTTTGGTAGTAGCAGAGACTGATCTCCAACATATACTGTGAGTGCTAACATGTCTCAGCATTTCACATGAGCTCCAGCTCAATGTTCTTTCCTAACTTTGATGAAATCGGCTACAAATCTCATCATGAGATCTCGAGCTGGGTGCTGGTCTGCATGTTCCAGTTGGTATGTGTTGATGGTTTGAACTGTGTCTGCAGGCGCCCCAGTGGTTAGACAGCGACTCATGTCAGAAGTGTGAGCAGCCTTTCTTCTGGAACATCAAGCAGATGTGGGACACTAAGACCCTGGGGCTCAGACAGGTAGAAGAACCGGACCCCTGCCAGGTAACGTCTCCCAACATGAATGTTTCTGATGCATGTATGGATGTGTGTGTGTTGTCTCCAGCACCACTGCAGGAAGTGTGGGAAGGCCGTGTGTGGGAAATGCAGCTCGAAACGCTCCACCTTCCCCATCATGGGCTTCGAGTTCCCAGTGCGGGTCTGTGATGCCTGCTTTGACACCATCAAAGAAGAAGAGTGAGTAACAATCTCCTCCGAGGTCACTCAGTACCTCTGTTGTCCCCTGCTGTGGAGCGAAAATAGGGAATTGGAAATACCATCTGTCCATCCGTGCATGTTGTGAGCAGGATACTTGGAAAAATAAGTGAGGTACTGGCTTCCACTTGGATGTGTCGCCACATCTATGAGGAGGAAAGGTTTGTTTGGAAAATTGGGGGGACCCGTCAAAATCCAAGATGGCTGTTGCCATATATGTACCGTAATGTCCGCAGTACTTGTATCCGTCCAAATATGTCTAAAAAAGTGTAAAAATCCATAAATATGTCGCTTTGCCGTATACGTCGCGTCTATTATGTGTCACCGCTGACAACCCGGAAATGTGGGCTGGTGTTGTGCCAAAAATCGATTGGCTGCCAAATGGCGGCCGCGTGAGCATGCACGGGAGGACTTTAACAAGAATTTAACAAGATTAACACTTAAAAACAATTGTTTGTTTGCTCACAATTATAGTAAAGGTGTGTCTCAGTCTAACATTTGCTTAATAAATGCACTTTGACGGTCAAATCAGCTGTATTTTCAAAACCCGATTCGCGTAAGCGCGCAGAGGGACAAGCTGCTGTTCATTTCTTTGAAATTTAACAAGATAAACACCTAAAACAATTATTTGTTTGCTCAAAATTATAGTAAAGGTGCGTCTCAGTCTAACATTTGCTTAATAAATGCACTTTAACGGTCAAATCAGCTGCATTTCAAAAGGATTCACTGCCTCGGTGCTCCAGGAGTGTGCAGAGGGAGGAAAACTACGAGGAACGCTGCTCGTTTCTTTGAAATTTAACAAGAAAAGCACCTAAAACAATTTCTAAAAAAAGTTAAATCTGGTCCTGTGAACATTCAAAAAAACAAAACAAAGCAAAACAACAAAAAAATGTAGAAACGTTTCGTCTCTCATCCGAGAGACTTCCTCAGTCTGAGGTGCTGTTTTCAGCTCAGTCTCTTAAATAGCACCTTCTCAGAGTGGATCAACCAGTTTGCTGCTGACAACCAAAACCAGCTGATCACATGGTCAAGAAGGACCATCAGCCTAACGATGGATCATTAGCACACTGATGGCTGTTTACTATTCACAGAGGGCTGAGTGATACTAGCAATCACAGCATTGTAAGAGGGAGACAATTGAACACGTAGGCCTCCACCCCTGTTTAATGATGGACAATTTCTTTTCACAAAGATGGCCTCCTTTACTCCTCTCTCAAACCATCGTTCCTCTCTATCCAGGATGTGAACATCTTCATCCCTGAAAGAGTGACCGCTGGCCTGGAGATGAGTGTAGACCGCAGAACGTAGACCTCAATGAATACAGCACCTCAGACTGAGGAAGTCTCTCGGATGAGAGACGAAACGTTTCTACATTTTTTTGTTGTTTTGCTTTGTTTTGTTTTTTTGAATGTCCAGAGGACCAGCTTTAACTTTTTTAGATTTTTCTACCTGGATTATTGAGCATGCATCAGGATACCTAAAACAATTATTTGTTTGTGCAACGTTATAGCAAAGGTTTGTCCCAGTTGAACTTTTACTTAATAAATGCACTTTAATGGTCAAATTACCTACATTTCGCCAGGGTGGTTCAGCAAAATGAAGCTGAGGTTGCTCCAAGCAGCGAGCAGAACGAAGGTAGCAGGCTGTGGCAAGCCAGTTTTGTCACTAATAGCTGGTGAAGCTTCTCAGTCATCCAGGACATGGTAAATCCAAAAAAGTTCAAGACAAAAACAAGAAAGTATAATTCAGTTCAATTCAATTCAAAAATACTTTATTAATCCCAGAGGGAAATTAAGTGTTGTCGTAGCTCATCATCCTGGTTTTATTCAAGAGTTGTTAGATGCTGATTGCTGTGGGAAGAAAGGATCTCCTGCAGCGAATACGAAGAATCTGGCCACAGATACCGATCTGTCCACCCAGATCCAGCTTGCTGTCAGATCCGGCTGGCCTCTCGGTTCTCCTGGGCAGCAGGGCCGCCCTAATGCCTGCCAGAACTCCTCCCAGAGCAATGGCCACTCCTCCCAGCACTCTGCCGAGCTCCTTGTCACTGCGGACAGCCAATTAGGTGCTGAGAGACGATCCTGTCCTTCCGCTGTCATGAGCCGTGTTTCCTGCTAGTTCCAGGATCTCAGTGGTCAGACACTTGAGCGCAGCTGGCAGGTAGATGAGAATGCGTCCACAGAACATTCTTTTCAACTCATTTGAGATTTGGGTCTGTAGTTGAGATATTATTTGAGCTTTTGAGATGTTAATCAGCTGCTGTTGGTTGTAGAAAACTGCCTTGTTGCCATGGTTACGCATCATATGGGGCCGAGATGGTGTAGAGGCAGGGCAGCCGGCTTGGGACCCGAGAGTCCCAGGTTCGATCCCCAGTCACTGCACATCACGTGGCGTCTCTGGGCAGCACGTCTAATCCCCAAAATGTCCCCCGGGCGCTTTCAATAGCTGCCCACTGCACCACCTGGTGGTGGATGGGTTAAATGCAGAGACTAATTTCGCCATTGTATGGAAACATACAGTGCTGT